CTCAGGGTCAATTGAAAAAGGACCAGGAGTAAAGCGTTTGAGTTCCCTGGACGATAAGATTCCACCCAAGTCACCCCGTCCACGTCGCAATATCTGGTTGTCACGTAGCCAGTCAGATATCTTCTCTCGCAAGCCTTCCAGGAAGATCAATGTGCAGGACCCCTACTACACACCAAACAAAGGACTGGGCCGGAAAGTGAATCCCTTCAGTGCCCGGGAGGACCTCAAGGGTGGAAAGATAAAATTCTTTGACATGCCAAGCAAGTCCGTGATCTCTCTTGTGTTTGACTTGCATTCTCCAGAGACAGGTGGTTGCCTGAAAGCCAGCCAGTCCCAATTCCGGCAGGCATATAGCACAGACTGGCAGGAATTTTCCCTCCTTTCTGGGAGGAGATGCAGATCACTTCCAGTCTCTCCTGAATTGGCACACAAAGAATATGGCCTGTTTAGTGGACTGTCTTCAACCATCAGTAGATGTGATCCAGCCCAGCTAAGTGCAGAGGTTCGGCAAAAGCTCCTGAGTAGCAGTAAATATGGTGTGTCAGAGATTCCCCCGTTTCAAGCCAAGCCTCACAGGCCAGAATTTCTTTCTGTACCAGGACAAGAGGAGGATATGGACTGTTCGGATGGGCCGGTGTCCCAGGAGGAAAATGGATTTTACTCTGAGAAGACATGTGAGAATCCAGCACGTAATCAACCATTAGCGCTGGCCCAGTCTGAGCCATTATCTTACAAAGGGCTCCTAGTTGAGAATTCATTGAACTCTGAGGAAAACTCCTCACAGGTGTTTGCCGGTTGTCTCCCTTCTGAAGAGATGGAGGTGGAAGACAGCCTGCTGAAAAATACACTGCTGGAGTCTACAAAGCCTCTGTTCAGCGTCCATCCTTCCACGGAGCTGAGGACAGATGCACGGCCATTCAGGGAGCACGATGGGGACAGCACTGCCCCATTGTCTCAGACGTCCTCCAACATCTCAGCAAGTGGCAGCACACAGCCAACTTGTGACATATGAAGAGAGGGCTCAAACGGAGCACGTCCTCAAGGGAGCCGTTGTTCCCAGTCACTTAAACTCTGCTCTTCAGTAGCGCTGCGTTTTGTGCTCGAAAGAGATCCAGCAGATGGTGAAAATGGGCTGTCAAACAGGTAGCTGTGGACAGCATCTGAAGAGACTAATGATTTAACTATTTTCAAGCTATGCTTATTTCCTCCCTTGATTTGCTTTAGGAGGGGAAACTACTCCAGCCAGAATTTCCACGTGAGCCCCATACCTTATAGAGGTAGTATCCAGAAGTAGGCATCACACAAACAGTTTGACTTGGATTCCAGCATGGAGCATTTTGGGGCCTTAAGTTCACGTTGAGTGGGAAGAGTGACGCGCAGGTTTTCCCTCTTCCTCTGACTGACCAGCTGCTCTGAACTGCTGCAGATTTTGCATTAGCATTCTGCAAGCAGTGTATGTGAATCAGAGCCTCTGTTCCAGAAATGGGCACAGATCTTTCAGAGCTGCGTTAAGCAGATAGCAATGCTTTCTTGTCCCAGAGCTGCTGTGAATGCTGTTACAGCATTAAACAAGCTCTTCTTTGAAAAGCAGCAAAAACAAAACCCCTCATGTTGGTTGCAGTCTGTGGGCGGAGTCACATGATAAGTACTTTCCAGTTAACAAGAGGAATCTGTGCCCTGATGTTTCATTTTGCCCTGGGATTTGTTAGTGATGTGTAACGCATTAGTATGGGGAAGCAAGATGCAGTGAGCACCACTTTCTTTCTTGCACAGCTCTTAATGTACCTCGACCCAGATGTGGGAGGAAGATTTGCCCAGGGAGCAAAAATGGAGCCAGATTCCAGGCACTGTCATTTCTGGCCTTTTTGAGGAACTGCCAGTTGTACTAAGCTTTTGGGCTCTCCTCTTTTAAGGTACCATAATCTATTTCTGCAGAATAGTTAAATATAAATTCTAGATGAACAGCTATCACTGTGGTTGGAAGGTTGCATTCAGACCCCTCTCTAGCAGGACATCCGTCTCATTGGTGCCACTGCACTAATGTAGTAGTAATGACTTGTGAAAAAGCAGACTGTTGGATGGGGGACAAGAATCCCCTGTTCCAGAGAAGCCACCAGCAGTGTTGCAGCAACATGAGAGCTTTTGGGTAAGGATAGATAGAAACTCACAGATGGGCTTTTGAGTTGTCAAACTGAAGAAGAGTAACTCATCCTCTTTTTTTTTTTTTTTAATTCTACAGAAAGAAGCTGTTATCTTCTTTGGTTTCTCCTGTCACTTCTGAGTAGGATTTTTTTTTTTTTTAAATGTTTTTCTTCATTCTACCAACAGATAGATGTAAAAGAATCAGCAGCATCTGCTTTAAAGCTGCTTGCTGGAACCAGCATCGGAGATCCCCAGTCTGGGATGTGATGTAGGGGATTCTTGTTCTGTGGTGATATTTGTGCAACAATCCTGCCCTTTCTACTGTTGTTGTACACAGTTACATGTTTTTTTTTTGTTTGATTTTGTATTTTTAGCCTATATTATCATTCCTATCTGAGGTATGCATTGCGTGCTCACTGAGCAGGTGATGCAGTAGCTGTGGGGGATTTGGAGTCCAGGATGTCATCCAGGTAGTCTGTTATTTCTGCTCTTGTGCAAGGATGGAAAATGTAAGCTGGTACTCCCTGATGAAAGCAAGGTTTTCTTACTCTTCTCCCATCTCAAGGAAAAGATGAAGGAGAAAGCTTATGTTTTTCTGTGTGTGTTTGTTTTCTTGGCTGAGTTACTCAGCTTTTCAGAGGTGTAGGTAACTATTCTGCTGTAACTGTGACTTTGTCTTGTGAAATACGTCTCAGCCCAAGCAGCAGTTATCTCTTTGCAATGGCTGCAGATAATTAAATGAGAAACACATCATCTTTGACTTCTTTGCACAGTTCATGCTGTGTTACACAGTTATTAGTTTGAAAAATGCCCATCCTGACCGAGATTGCCCTTTTTGGCCCACACCTCTCTGCCCGTCAAAGGTGCTGATCTGTAGAGTAGCTTGTGTTGGGTGTCCTGTTTTCTGTGCTGGTGTCTGCAGTGTGCTGAGCAGCTGGAAGGGCTGGCACTGCATTGTGTCAATTCCTTTGAGGACAGGGAACCAGTCAACAGAACTCCACTGCCTGCCTGTCTGGTGCCTGCTTTTTTTTTTTTTCCCCGACCCCTCATATATATATATATATATATATATATATTTCTTTTATCAAACTAATCTTTCAGGAGAGAAATCATCAGCACCAGCTTCTGTTGTCACAAGATGCATTTAGGTGTGTGACTTCAGACAAACAAGCAATAATAAGGAATAGTTTATTTTGGATCACCAGGCTGCAAGGAAGCTGTCCTGCAGCCTCAGCAGCATAGGTGTGTGCCTCTGGCTGCTCTGTGTGGCTTGTGTTACCCTGCTTGTCAGCACTGACACCTCGTGAAGCCTGTAGCCTCTCTGACAGACTGCAAAATCTGTGTAGTCTGGTCTGGGATATCTCTAAGAAGCCATCACAGTGACCTCGAGTGTTCTCTCACACCACTGGCTCTTAAATGTTTCCCTACCCTCAGTGGCTTTTACGAAGCAGCATGGTTAAAATTTTATTTTCTTAAATGTCTACTCTTTGCACAGCCAGCTGACATGCACGGGGCACATCTATCAACTCTGCTAGCTCTTTGTTCTGAGATGGAGATGTTGGGAAGGGAAATACCAAGGAATAACAACTCAGGCCTTTCCTGCATTCTTGGTCCGCGCGGGGAAAAAGGATGACGTGCATGTGAACTGGAGTAAAAGGCTGTCTTAAAATAGCTAAGTGCTTGCTGAAACCCTGCGTTTCCAAGGGTTTGGATGCAGTTGGCACACACTGTCTTATCCCTTTGGTTGTGCAAAGCTGAATCTAGGTTGCACCTAGCAAATACTCCTAGGTTTTCTGCCCATCTGAGGGCACTTTTCTAGTGGGGGCCATTTTCTGACGGCTACTGATGAACGTGAATCTGAATATGCAGTCAGCAAACTCCTTGTTTTTATAGTGATGTGACAAAGTTTTTTCTTGTGACTGGATTTTATCATGGTTTTTGACTTTCTTGGAGGAGCAATTGCTCTTTTAAAAGACTTTCTACACGTTGCTAGGTTCCCTAAAGAGATCAAAGATGTTTTTAATTCGCTTTAAATCTTTCTGTGTTGAGTTCATTGAAATGTCTGTTATAAGCTATTTTTGTTGTGGTTGCAGGTTGATAAAATGCAACTAAGAGAATGCATGTGAATTGCTGCCCCTCAAAAGCAGTGCAGACAAGGGGCTTTAGTAGACTTACACTTGCTGGAAAAGCATCAATGTATTGTGTAACAGAACATTGGTATTTTTTGCCAGTACAACTAAAGACACTTGAATAATTCCTGTTTGCACTTAATGCTATTGTTTATATTGCATGTCACTACATTTCTATGCAAAACAAATAACCCTTTTTTTGGGAGGAGGGGCAGCCAGATATTTGATTAAGTAAGTTTAAAGATCTTTGCAAGATGATCTATTTTCATATTTATGAAGGAGTTTTACGTCTTAATATTTTGCAGACTGTAAATAGCTCAACTTGTAATTAAAGGCTTAGGAGGAAGTTTGTAGCCTGTGTATAATAGTAAGTTAACACTGCCAGAAAAGAAAAATCTTTGCAAAACAGTTTTTCTAATATTGTGGATATTTATGAATATGTAAAGAAAGCACGTCTTGTTTTTATGTTGATTGACCTTTGGACTTTTTTTGAGCTGTAGAAATGGTGTATGTTTTATTGGAACTGCAATAAGAAGTAACCAAAGATGAATCCAGTTAAATATTTTCATAATTTTTTCTTGGTCAGGTTTTGTAAACTTTCCCAACTTGCTTTCAAAATAAAATTAAAATCAAGGGTTGAGTCTTGTGATTAAGATGACAACTTTGGGTTAAAAAAAAGAAAAAGCTGATTAAAACACACACTTGAGCTATGGATGATATTAATGCCTGTCTTGAGATCATACCTTTATTACTTGGTGCTGAGTTATAAATAAGGAAAACTGCCACCCTTATTTGGTCTTATTTCTCCCCTGCATCTTATTGAAATGCTAGGCTGTTCAATTCATGACTCAATGCCTTTTTTTCTGCTCTGCCTTACAGCATTCAGCAGGCAGTAACTTGTGACTAACAAGGCAAGATGCTTTTGATAGCACTCAGCCTGCAGGGAGCTTGCCATTGTGACTGCTGTGTTCTAGCTCCGCAAAATAGCTTCAGGAAGCACAGGAAGCAATGCAGCCAGGTGTGGTTCTTTTAAATCCTGGTGCACGTCCCATAGATACTCCCTTAGTTAGAAGTTTACAGACCTGCTATAGCTTGGTTCTGCATGCAGTTACCCTTCACTAGAATCTGCTAGCCCAACATCTCTTTCTCCTTTTTTAACTACAGGAGCAAAGGCTTAAGTTGTAACCAAAATTAAGGTGAAGTACAAATATAAGGCAGGACAACTCTCTCAAGGAGGGATATGTTCAGTGCCTTTTTTTAAAACAAACAAAAGACCCCTTTTGTCTTTTGTCCCCCTTCAAGTTCTTTAGAAAGACAGGAAGTAATTAGAGTCATAAGGAATTTCCCTACCAGCAATGATTGAGAGACTAACACTTGATTGAACGTTAATCATAGCATATGCTGAAGAAACAGCCTGCTTCTGATAAGCATGTTTCTGTAAGGCAGGTTTGACCTTTTTCATTTTGGAAAAGATCTGTCCCCATAAACCACTAGGGTAAGTGGCAGCAGGTAGTAAGGCTCTGTATATGGTAAGGATAAAGACATGAGGAGGAGGAGGATGTGGCCTCTGTCTCCTCTTATGTTTAATCAAAGAATTACCCTATTCATCACCTTCAAGAAGAGACACCCATGCTAAAGCAGCTATTATGTGGTCTTTCTAGAAATACAAACCTGGTCTGTTTTTTGTTTTTTATTTCAAAACACTGTCAGGTTAGAGCACTCAACAGAACTTGCTGCCCTGCATGCAGTTGGAGAAGTGCATGTTTCCCCCCTCCAACCTTACCCGTGCTTTCAGTCCAGCTAAGAAACACCAGAAGGAACTCCAACTGAGAGCAATTTAATTAGTCAGAGGTTAAAATGGAGGACAAGAAACTTGTTCCCCTTTAATAACTGTGGGGGAAAAACACCCAGTTCAGTGAGGAGTCTTGTAGCTCTATCCAGTGGCCCAGACCAACTTCATCTTCTGGTTGTGAGCTGTGGAAGACTTAGAAAACGAGCTTTTCACTATCTGCAGTGGCACTGATTTCCCACTGAGGTACAGCTTGTTATGACAGTCTGGACACCATGGCTCTGCATCAGTGCCTGTGCTTTTTCGTTTCTTAAGCATCCACACATAAGCCATGATATAGCCAGTCATGAAGGCATCAAAGCCAGCTCGGTGGGTTCCCACTTGTGAACATGGCCCCTGGGATGCATTTTGCTTTCTGGCAGCACATGCTGCTTCAGTCTCAGGGATGTCTGGGTGATTGGTGGAGACCATTCCAGCGAGGACCTCTGACTTCCCTTCCACTTGGTCACTGTCATGGGCATTTCCCTTGGCAGAAGGGCTCACAGCAGCAGTTTCTTCAGTGCTCCTCAGATCCTCTTCCTGCCTTCCACCATGTGTACTGGTGTCTGAGCTGCCCTCTGGTTCCATAGCAGCGGAGTTTTCCTCCTCTCGTGGCCTGCCATCAGTGTCATAGCAGCTCTGTTTTCGTGGTGGTTCCTCTTCCCCATTCTGAATTAGCTCCATTTCTTTCCCTGAGCTTTCCTGTTCTAATGTCTTTTCAGGTTCTGCATTTTTCCGACGCTTCCGCCTGTGTTTCCGTTTCTTCACTTTCTCACAAAGCTTATCATCCTCATCAATTATGAGGTCAATGTTATGAGACTGTGGACACTTCACTCCATTTGGACACCAGCCATAGGCCTAGGGAGAAAAAGAGAAGTCTGTCACCACGAGCCTCCCAGTTAGAGCAGCCTATCACTGCCACTCGGAGCAGAGTTAATTATTGCCCTCAACTGAGGGCTTGTGTGAGGCTGTGGCTGGAGCACTGTGTCCAGTTGTGGCACCAGACCACAGGAAAGGCATTGACAAACTGCACTGGGTGCAGAAGAGAGCTGACGAAATATAGTGCATGCAGTGCAAGGCTAAGGAAGTCTTTGGGTTTGTTCCCACCTGGAATAGATAAGCCTAAAGGCATGGGGCAGAGCTAATAGCTGGACTCCAGCTACCTACAGCAGAGGTTATGGAAAAAAATGGAGCCAAACACTTTTTAAGAAGAGTGCAGGTGAAATGTTAATGGGAAATTCTGACTAAACATCCAAGAGGGTATTTTTCACAATGAGTGGTCAACCACTGGAATCGGGGCCCGAGGGGATTTTGCAATCATTGTCCTTGGCCATACTCAGAAGTCACCAACCAAGGCTCTGAGTAACTCTGAGTTGGTGGTTTGCTGAGAAAGTTCCTGATGTTTTCCTAACGGATGTTGTTCTGTGAAAATAATGTGCAGCATCATCTAGAAGAACTCCTTTTTCCCCTGAAGCATGTGAAACCAGCTGGGATCAGGTGGGCTCCTTGATAACCTCTGTAGCAGTGCCAGAACTTGAGATGCTGTGGATCACACCACACTACGATTCCAGGAGCTGCAGACAGGTAATATTTTCTATATCTAATCGAGCTACGGGGGAGGAAAGAGGAAGCACTCCTTGCTTAGAAGACAAACCGAGAACGCTTAGAACTTAAAGCCCTTCCAAGAAAGCAATAAAAAAGCCTAGCCAAGACAGCAATGTGTATTGTTAATACACACTAGTTCTCTTTTAGGGCTATATTATCTGTTCTTTGAACCTTGGCCTCAAATGCAAACTGTGAAATGTGCTACCTCAGAGCAGAGCATGTTGTTGCCTTTTCAGTTTCAAAGTCACCTGAAGCTTGAAAGTCTTCCCTGTATTGTGAAGCAAACAAATAGCACCTGGGAGGTTCCTTCCTTCTACTTCCTGCTCTGCTCATGTGTGGCTTTTGCCGTGGGGCCAGGTAGGAAGCAGGGATTCATGTTACTTACTGAGAATTTCTCACATACAGGCACCTTATTTGCCTCTCCCTCGCTGTGGCTTGCTTCTTCCAGAGAGCAGTGGCGATAGTCGATGTAGCGTGACATGTTGGCAGGGTAGTTGCAGAACTCCACAGAGATGTGCTGGCTGCTGGAGTCCTTCAGCTTGCTGTTCTCTCGCTTGCTGGAACACACAAGAGGATGCAGTTACTGTGGTTAATTCGCCAAAAGCACACAGCACAGAGCTGGTACAAACATGCTGCTTTGAGCCAACTCTCAGCTCCTCTCGTTTCTTGTTCTTGAGCTTCAGTTTAGCTTGAGTTTAACAGCCTGCTGCAAAGACAGTGCAGGGAATAGAACTTTAAGAAGCAATTGTTTTTATGCTGATTTAAGTGTTGGTTTCTTGTATGCCTAAATACAGGCAGAGACAGCAGTGTGTTTTGTGATGTTATGGAAGAAAGAGACACGCAGTGCCCTTCATATTTAACACCAAGCTAAGATGTGTGTTAGTTTTGATAATACTATTGGACAAAGAGGAAATGCCTGAGGTGAGGTGTCATTGTGTACCTAGCAACCACCACCCAGACAGAGCAAACCTGGGCAATGCAGACAACAAAGAAATGCTTTCTATCTCAAGAAGAAGCAAGAACTGTTTTGTCCCAACTGCTTCAGAAGACAACATAACTAGAACAGTGGGTTCAAACCCTAGGAGGTCAGTTAGAAGTATCTTCATCCTGTCAGAATAAAATATTCTCGTGCCTGAGAACAGCCAGCCATCTTGAACATTTTCAGGCATATCAAAATAGAATTTATTGATGTAAAACAGTCACTAAAAATACCATTTCTGCACAGAGTGTGACTTTGGCTTAATAGATTCAGGTGGCCGTATCACTGCCTGGGTCTTGTTTAGATTGTGCAGCAAGAGCAGAATCAGAAGCCAGACTGACACAGCTGCTGAAAGACACCCTCGAGGTGCTGAGGACAGGAAGCAAGACAGGAGGCCGAGGAACAAGAGCACAACCTTCAGCTGGGAGTTACTGCTGGGCAAGCAAGGGTCATATGTGTGGAGCTGGTCAGCATCTGGATGTGCACCCATTCTTCAACTGCATCATCCCTTACAAAGCTGTCACAGCTGGCAGATTCTGCAGGTACAGCCCTGCTCTCTAGCCAGCACGTATTCCTGCTGGTATCCCTGTGGCAGTGCTGGACCATAACCATGCAGTGAATCAATTTTCAGTTAAATGACGTTAAACTGCTGCCAGCAGAAGACAAATCTTTCTGCTGCTGCCCTCTGTACAGAGCAAATTACAAGATGCACCCTTACCTACCCAGCCTAGAACTGGGAGGCAATAAACACCTTTTTCAGCGCTGGAACAATACAAAGACCTACGTCCTGTGTCTGGAAAGAGAAACCAAACTGAATCCCTTGTCTTTTTGTCCCAGAGCTTTAAATAGCAGTGTGCCACTCACCATTTCTTGTAAGCGTATTCCAAGTAGGATGCAACAAAGCGGGTCTCAAACTCTGAAGCATATTTAGTGTCATATATTCCTGCTGGGAACATTTCTGAGAGATCAGAGGTGAAGGTGCCAAGACTGTCTGGGAGATGAGCATAGAAGCACTGGTACAAGAAGACGAGATCAATCAGGCCGTTATGGAGGATGAGAGGCTTCTTTGCTCGAATGAGTTCCAGGAAAAAAGTCCGAACACTCTGGATCTGGCTCTCATTGCCCTAAAAGAAGAATTAGTCATCAAGTCTTAACACACTGAGGACTTCTGGTGCAACGGCAAGTCAGAGCTTGTTACAGCAGAACACCATGCTGTGCTCTGACCAAGGAAATGCGCACGTAGTTGGAGAAGCAGCTGCAACAAGTGATGAAAAACAACAGGGAGGAGAAAGGGCTGTGCTGCACTCCTGTTCCCACGCAGCAGCTGGGAGCCGGAGGCTGCAGGGGAGCGCAGCTCATAGCAGAGCAAGCTGCGATGAATGAGGGCATCAGCCCTGGAGCATGGATTCACAGGCAGGACGAGGGAGTGACTCTGTACCTTGTCGTTGCCCTTGTGATAGGGGATCCCCTGGGAGTACTGCTTATTGAAGTCAAAGCCGTGCTGCACCAGGAACTGCACTGACTGCGGCTCGACGACGTAATCCTCCGTGCAGAGCAGCGTCAGGTTGTAGATCTGGCAGAGGAACGTGTTCTCGGACTGCGGAACAAGATCAGAACCGGGCCCTCAGAGCCGGGGATGACAGGGACCGGGCCGGGCCCCGGGGATCTGCCGTTACCTTCTCAGTGAGTTGTTTGAAGCAAGCGACGCCGAGAGACAGGACTGAGCGCGTCCGGGCGGCGTTGCAGACGGCTTTGTAGCGCTCGTCGATGCACCTACCGGAGACACAACCGCTGAGGCGTCCCGAGTTCGCGGAACCGACCCCCCTCCGCGCTCTCCACAACGACAACCGGAGGGCGGGGACCCGGCACCCCACCCGCCCCTCAACCTGCGGGCACTCACGGGCTCAGCAGCGCCTTCCTGGTCCCCAGGCCGCTCAGCTCCTGCGGGAAAACGACGCTCAGCGGCGCGGCCCGGCCGCACAGCCGCTTACTGCAACCCCCGCCGCGCCCATCTCACCGTGTCCACGGCGATGAAGGTGGCGGTGCGCAGCGCCAGCACCATGGAGGGCCACAGCTCCGTGAAGTTGTCGCTCTGCACGTCCACCACCGGCACCTGTCCCCGCGCCATGGCCGCGGCTCCCCCACGCGCCGCCCCGGGGCCTTCCTCGCCGGGCTGCCCCGCGCCCGCCCGCTTCCACCGCGCACCCCGCTCGGCCCCGAGCCCCGCACTGACGGCCTGTGGAGGCGGCCTCGAAATCTGGTAGCTTATTACGTTTTTTTCTGCTGCTCGAAGCCCGGTTTCTGATGGAATTTTCATTTTTAAGCCAACGGGCGTTTAGCGAGGGCGGCTCCTCCGGGGCCTTGATGCCGCCGCTGTGACTGGCGGGAGAACGGGCGGGGAAAACTGGTTGACTCCGTTGCGCGGCCAGGACCCGCCCTTTCCCGGGCTCGTCCGAAGGGAGGGGCGAACGCGCTGCCCTCACACCGCGCTGCGATTGGCTCAAGAGTGGAAGGCGGGTCCGCGCCGCCCGCTCTGATTTGTCCCCGAGAAGCGACGGGGCGGGGCGCGGGAAGGGAAGGGAAACATTTTCCCGGGAAAAGCGCGCGTGTGTCCCGCGGCTCCCAGCCATGAGCCGCCTGCGAGCGGCGGCCGCCCGGGGGCTGAGGCGGCGGGGAAGCGGCAGCGCGGCCCCGACTGGGGAAGGCAGCAGGAAGGGCGCGTCGCTCCGTGAAGGTGCGGGAGGGCGGGGAACGCGTAGGGCCGGACCTGGGTAGCCCCGCGGCCCCAGCTGGGACCCGACCCCCGTTCTGCTCTCCCGACAGGGGCTCCCGCTCGACCACATGCGCTGCATCTCTTCGGCGACCCCGTCGAGATCGATGCCCTACGTGGCCGCCTGCTCACCTGGTATGACAAAAGCCGGCGGGACCTTCCTTGGAGGGCGCTGGTAAGGGCAGCGTGAACAATTTTATGTTGTATGCGGGTCTCCTTGCAGCAAATGCTGTGTTCCCTTGTCTCTCACAGTCCACTTCGTTCCCTTTCAGGCTGCAGTTGAGCCGGATGCCGATAGGCGGGCGTATGCAGGTGAGGAACAGGGGTGGCTGTATCCCATGTTTTGCTGCCTGACACGGGGTACAACGTAGCCTAGTGAAGGCTGTGGCTTTAGTGCTGTTTCTGTAAACAGCTGCTTGGACCCCTGGTGGTGTCTGAGAGGCAACTTTGGGCCTGAGAGAGATCCTCTGGGGATGTAGATGGGGAGGGGGGCTGCTGGGTTGGGTGCTGCTGCAGTTCTTGGAATCAGCACCATGGTGACTGGGGCACATGCTGGGAGAAGTGATGTTGGCACCTCTGCCCTGATCCCTCTGTGCTCCTGGCAGTGTGGGTGTCTGAGATCATGCTTCAGCAGACGCAAGTGGCCATGGTGATTGACTACTACAACCGCTGGATGCAGGTGACTGTTCCTCATGCAGTCCCCCCAAACCTCCTGCTTCGGAGGCTCTACTCTCTGCCTGTGGCAGACTCCCATCTGCAGCACTTGGCTGTCCTCATCCTGAACTTGTCACTTCCCTCTTGTAGAAGTGGCCAACACTGCAAGCACTGGCAGCAGCATCGCTGGAGGTGAGCACTGTGGTGCTGAGTGCAGCCCTCACTGCTCTCCCCGCGTCCCCCTAATGCTGCATCTCGTGGGGCAGGAGGTGAATGAGCTGTGGGCAGGACTCGGCTACTACTCACGAGGAAAGCGCCTGCAGGAGGCAGCAAAGAAGGTGCTGAAGGCATTTCCTAAGCAATCTGTGCCCCGTGGGTGGCTGCTGGTTCATGCCTGCTCTGCCTTACTGGAGCTGAGCTCGTTGCACAGGGCCATGGAGGCTGGGCACCCTCCTTATCACATGTACAGATTGTGTCTGCTCAGCTGATGTTGGCTGCCCTGTTGCAGGTGGTGTTGGAGCTGGCCGGTCACATGCCCAGGACAGCTGAAGACCTGCAGAGGCTGCTGCCGGGAGTGGGTCGATACACAGCAGGAGCCATTGCTTCCATCTCATTCGGACAGGTGAGCGCTGTCCAGAGGGAATGTAACTCCTATTACTGCTGTCTCCCTGCCCCTTACCTGCACCTCGCAGTTTGCTGATCCCTACTCCTACTTCAGGCTACCGGTGTCGTGGATGGGAATGTGATCCGCGTGCTGTGCCGTCTGCGGTGCATCGGTGCTGACACCAGCAGCCTGGCTGTCATTGACTGCCTCTGGTGAGGAGAGCTGTGCTGATGGCGGCTGTGGTTGTGTGTTGGTGGCTGAGGGCAGGATCGTTTAGGAGCCATGGGGAGCTGAGCTGAAGGGGAGATGCTGGAGGAGCATGAGCGTTAGGGACTCGTGTGGGGGTCAGGGGCTCAGGAAGTCACGGGGTTCCTGCACGCAGAAGCCCACGTCACTCACAGTCATCTCTCCTAGGAACATGGCCAATACCCTGGTGGATAGGAGCCGCCCGGGGGACTTCAACCAAGCTCTGATGGAGCTGGGGGCAACTGTATGCACACCCAAATCCCCACTGTGTGGGGAGTGCCCAGTGAAGGAGCACTGCCATGCCTGGCGTAGGGTAAGAATGGCCCCCAAAACCATCCCTTGACAGTCTGTGAGTGGCAGAGGCCTCTACCTGTCCCTGTAAGGGTGACAGAAGGTTCCCCACACCTCCTCTGAAGCATCAAGCAAGACTTGGCTGAATACTGAGTCCTGCATTCTTACCTGTGCCAGCCCTGGGGAGTCACTGTATGTGGAGATGGGGTTGGACGTGCTGTTGTCCCATACAGGTGGAGAAGGATCTGGCCTCTGCCTCTCAGAAGCTGTTTGGAAAGACCGCCCTGGTGCCTGATGTTGAGGACTGTGGTGAGCACCTGGGTTGTTTGCTGTGGCAGCTCTGCATTTGCATTTGGGCTGTGCTTTGACTGTTGCATTGATGTTTACAGGGACTGGGGACTGTCTGTTGTGCCTTCCTGCTGCCGAGCTGTGGGACAGCAGCCTGGGGGTCACCAACTTCCCCCGCAAAGCAGCAAAGAAGCAGCCACGAGTGGAGCGGACAGCCACGTGTGTGCTGGAGCGGAGGGGCCACCTTGGGGCCCCTGAGTACCTCATTGTGCAGAGACCCAGCTCAGGTACGGGGCCAGGCGGGAGCAGGGCACTGGCAGTGAATGGTGCTGGGATGGAGTTGTGGGATGGCACTTTCTCCTGGGGTGCAGAAAAGAGCCTCCTGGGCTGTGATGGGCCTCAGCACCCCCAGTTCACACCCTGTTTTGCCCTCTCACAGGGCTCCTGGCTGGGCTCTGGGAGTTCCCTAGCTTCCCACTGGCTCTGGGCCTGCAGGAGGAGCAGCAGAAGGAGGTGCTGGCTGACCACCTGCAGGCATGGACAAGGCAGCCTGTGCAGACAGAGAGTTTGTGCTTCGTTGGAGAAGTGAGCATGGGGCCAGGCACTGTGTGCTGTGCTATGGGGCATGCAACACAGAGGGAGGATCCCCGTTCCCTGATGTCACCGTTCTCAAACCCTCCCTGCATGCTGCTTATCATATTCTTGTCCCCTCACAGGTTGTCCACATCTTCTCTCACATTCACCAGACATATGTGGTCTACTCTCTGTGCCTGGATGGGGATGTGGTCCTGGACACTGCCTCATCCCCATCCCGCTGGGTGACAGAGGAGGAATTCCGTGCCTCAGCTGTGTCCACTGCCATGAAGAAGGTACCAGGGGGATTCCATTTCATGGAATGGAATTCCATGTTCCATTCTCTTCATGAGGTGCTGAGTGTGCCCCTGGCATCCCCCTAGCTGCTGTGGGGCAGTCCCAGCTTGGGGATGAGTCCCATCTGTTTCTGAGCACTCTCTTGCTTTCTTTAGGTGCTGAAGGCGCGGGAGACTCAGCGTGGGGTGCAGAGCGGCCGTGCCAAGGTGGGCCGCGCAGCAGTGTGTGCAGGGCTGCCCTGTGCTGTGCTGGAGCACAAGGACTTGGGGCTGCGCTGGGAACTCCCCAGCCTGGAGCAGGGAGATATGCCTGGCCAGCTCCGTCCGTGGTTCCCCTAATTTTACACCCACCCTCCCCCACCGTTGATGCCTCAGAGGTGTCCCTGGGCACCTTTGCGGCTTGGCTCAGCCGCATCATCTGTCCTGCAGGCCTCCAAACGGAAGCGGGAGTCAAAGCTGGGGGCAGCAGGCAGCGCCCCCACAGGGATTCAGCTCTCCCTGCGCTCCTTCCTCCGGGCACAGAGCGCTCCGTGATCAAACCTTTGGCAGCTGACACCAGCAGGTGCTGTGCTGTGGTGAGTCCTGTGTGGGGCAGCTGCAGGTCTCCCCGTGCCCCTATAGCGATCACTGTGCTTTCTTCCAGCCCCACAGCCATCAGCACATCACCACCTTCCCCAGTGCACCTGTGGATACGTGCTGTACAAGGGGCCGGTGCAATGCTGGATGCGACCCAGAGCTGGGCTCACTCCCTTGCCCTGGCCATGGGGTTTCTCTGGCAAGAAGAAAGCAAGAAGGATGTGGCCTCGTTCCCATCATTCACACATGCCTGAGCATGGGCCAGCAGCCAGTGACTGTGGTGCTGTTGTACCCTCACATCCATATTCCCATAGCCCTTTTTATGTTTCTTTTTGCTGAATGTGAGCCATGTTTTTTGTAATAAATCTCCTAAGGGCCTCTTTTTTTTAATTATTATCTTTTTTCTTGAAGTGACTCTGCCTCCATTGCAGCACAGCACTAAGCTGGGGCTGCCAGTGGTTGAACATGAGGATGGCCAGCAGGTTGCTTGTGCCTGGACTGGGAAAGCAGTGCAGTGGTCTCTGTGTTACTGCACCCATGCATATGGCTCAGTGCTAATAGCAGGTGCCAGCCCTGCTATCTGAGATGCCCTATAGCCTTGGGGTGCTCTGAAGGGTAGGTGGCCCCAGCCTAGGCGATGATCCACCCTGAGCAGTAACAGTGGAAAGGGTCCGTTTGTCCTCACCCTGGCAAATCTTAAGCAGGAGGAGAAAAAATCCCACATCAGTTATTCCAGGTTAATTCTTTAATTTAGGTGATGAAGGAGCAGCCACTTGCCCTGTGGTGCTTTGGATGATGTCTGCTGGTAAGCAGCCGTGTCCGTAGTGTCC